TTTTTAGTAGAGACGGGGTTTCACCATGTTGGCCAGGATGGTCTCAATCTCTTGACCTCGTGATCCACCCGCCTTGGCCTCCCAAAGTGCTGGGATTACAGGCTTGAGCCACCGCGCCCGGCCTCCTTTTCAAAGATATTAGGAATCAAGGAGCAAGCTGAAGAGAAGAAAGGAAAGCCCTGTCACTGCCCTCCCCACAGCAAAGCCCCGCAAGGAGCTCACATGATGTTGGCTTTGTGCACCGCCGTGACGTTGCTCCGGTGGTTGTTCCGGGCGTACTCAAAAGCAAACTCAGCAATGCGTTTACTTGCTGCCTCGGTGATGAGCTTGATACTCTGCACGACTCCATCAACAATCTGCAAGAGAGGAAGTCCTGCCTTGCTGGAAAGAGTGTGACAGCAACGTGGTGGGAGACAGCGCGTGTGGGGCATAGACAGCAACGTTTGTGGCATGCCTGCACAGTGTCAGCTAGCATGACTAATCATACGCTGTCAGTGGGGCTCATGTTAATCCCAGCCCTATGAGGTATTATGAGCCCCACTGCACAGATGAAGAAAACTGAGATGCAGAGACAGTCACCTGAGGAAGAGCAGACCTGTGAAGCGGGGGATTCAAAATTCAGAGGGCATACTCCCAAGCTTGTGACCTGAACCACCATGCCTTATTCCTCCCGGCATCTGTTTGAGTACTGTCCACCAGACAGCCAGCACCAAGACAAACAACCACAACTCCTCAGAGAAAAAGCAGATCTGTCTCTGGGGTCCCAGATGCACAGAAAGCAGTCCAAACAGGAATAAAAAGGAATCTGGAGTGAACATACCACATGCTCAATTCCACTGTATTCTCCTTCTGTGTTCTCTCGAATGGTCACAATATTTACATCGGTGTAAGGGGTTTTATAGCCTTCGATAGAGACACAGGGTCGGACATTTGCATAAAGGTCAAACGTTTTGCGCAGCAGTAAATTCATAGATGGGTGACCAGCTGCTATTGGGGTCTTCAAAGGGCCTGTCATACAGAAGAAAACCCAGATGACAATAGAAGATACTCTGGTCTCACGTGTGACCTACTAACCCACCTGGGCTACCTTGTGAAATGTGTTCTGTCTCTAATTCACCCTCTACCTGAGATTCAAATGAAGAAGGAAGATTTCCTCATGGGAGCTCTCTGGAACATTAACTGCACTTCTTTTTTTTTTTTTTTTGAGACGGAGTTTCGCTCTTGTTACCCAGGCTGAAGTGCAATGGCGCGATCTCGGCTCACCGCAACCTCCGCCTCCTGGGTTCAGGCAATTCTGCCTCAACCTCCTCAGTAGCTGGGATTACAGGCACGCGCCACCATGCCCAGCTAATGTTTTTGTATTTTTAGTAGAGACGGGGTTTCACCATGTTGACCAGGATGGTCTCGATCTCTTGACCTCGTGATCCACCCACCTCGGCCTCCCAAAGTGCTGGGATTACAGGCTTGAGCCACCACGCCCGGCTTAACTGCACTTCTTAAGCACTTCCTGAGGACCAGGCACTGCCCATGTGCTTGACATGATCTAATCCTTACCATCACCCTGTACAACAGCAACTTTGTTACTGTCATTTTAAAATGAAGAAAGGCCAGGCGCGGCGGCTCACACCTGTAATCCTACCGCTCTGGGAGGCCGAGGTGGGTGGATCACCTGAGGTCAGGAGTTCAAGACCAGCCTGGCCATCATGGTGAAACCCCATCTTCATAAAAAATAAATAAATAAATAAATGAAGAAAAAAGAAACTAAGAATAAAAAATTTGCCCAAGCCTTCTAGCCAGTAAGTAGCAGAGATGAGATTCAACAATTGATTCTATCTGTGGTTTTAAAACCTATGCTTGCTGGGCATGGTGGCTCAGGTCCTGTAATCCCAGCACTTTGGGAAGCCAAGGCAGGTGATCACTTGAGGTCAGGAATTTGAGACCGGCCTGGCCAACGTGGCAAAACCTCATCTCTACTAAAAATACAAAAATTAGCTGGGCATTGTGGCGCGTGCCTAAAATCCCAGCTACGTGGGAGGCTGAGGCAGGAAAATCGCTTGAACCCAGGTGACGGAGGTTGCAGTGAGCCAAGACCACAGCACTGCACTCCAGCCTGGGCTATACAGCGAGATTCACAAAAAATATAAAAATAAAGCCTATGCTGAATTTAAATCTGTCACATGCTAGCATTTTTGAATCATGGCCTTAAACATGTATTAATTCAAGTAATGATAAAAATGTAGGCCAGGCACAGTGGCTCAGGCCTGTAATCCCGACACTTTGGGAGGCAGACGCAGAAGAGCTGCTTGAGCTTAGGAATTCCAGATCAGCCTGAGAAACATAATAAGATCTCATCTCTACAAAAACCTTTCAAAAAAATTAGCTGGGCATGGTGGCACACCCAAGTAGCACTCCCAGCTACTTGGGAGGCTGAGGTAGGAGGACTGCTTGAGCTCGGGAGGTTAAGACTGAAGTGAGCTGTGATCATACCACTGCACTCCAGCAGCCTGGGCGACAGAGCAAGACTCTGTCACAAAAAAATAATTAACATAAATAAATATAAAAATGTAAAAATTAAGCAAAAGATACATATAGTTGAAGATTATAAATAGAGATACTGTCATTTGGTATCATCCAGTAATATTTTAATGTTTTTACTGGGGAGAAAAATGTCCCAAATATATAAAGCATCTTACTAGGATAGTTACTACATAAAAGAATGGCTTTACTTTCACAGATAGGCCTTATTTAGCTTAAAAGCATAAATTTTCAAAGTATGTATAAACACCTGTAGCAGAAATCCGTAAAAATCCCCATCTCCACTTCAGTGCTACCTTTCAAGCCCATCTTGTTCTTATCCATGGACTCTTTAGCCTCTGGAGGGATCATCCACTTTCCTCCAGGTCCTTGAATGGCAGTGACGTTCCGCTCCTCCCACTGAATAGGTGCCTAGATGACATGTCACAGAGCACAGTGAGCTGGAGAGACTTAAAGGAGACTGACATTCATACAATTCAGCAATGCTGATTGAACTTTTTCAACTTTGTTTCTGAGATGGAGTCCCACTGTGTTGCCCAGGCTGTAGTGCAGTGGCACGATCTTGACTCACTGCAACCTCTACCCACAGGTTCAAGCGATTCTCTTGCCTCAGCCTCCCGAGTAGCTGGGATTACAGGAGTGCGCCACCACACCCAGCTAATTTTTTTTTTTTTTTTTTTTTAGTAGAGACAGGGTCTCACCATGTTAGCCCGGTATTCAACTACTGACCTCAAGTGATCCACCTACCTCGGCCTCCCAAAGTGCTGGGATTACAGGCGTGAGATACTGCGCCCGGCCCTTTTTCAACTTTGGATGTAACTGCTAAAAACAGTAATGGTCCAGAAAGTTCCTGGCATGCAAGAAGAGATGTCATTCTCTAGCAGGCCCAGAGGGATTCTCCACATTACCCGTGCCCAGTCACCACTCCCAGCCAACATTTATTTTTTTTCACAAGGGCTCTTAACACTGGCTAGAATTAGAATATCATAAGGAACAGAGGAATATCGTTCATAGAAACATCATATAGTACTGATGCATGGATGAAACTTGAAAAGTATCATGCTAAGTGAAAGAAGCTAATCATAAAAGACCATATATTATAAGATTCTATTTATATGAAATGCCCCAAATAGGTAAACCTATAGATACAGGAAGTAGATGAGTGGTTACTTGCCTAGGGCTGGGGAGGAAAAAGGGAAGGGGGTAGGGAGGGAGACAAAATGGGGAGTGACTGTGTAGGGTTTGGGGTTTCTTTTTGGGTGAGGAAAATGGTCCAAAACTAGATTGTGGTGATGGCTGCATAACTCTGTGAATGTACTAAAAACCACTGGATTGGCCAGGCACAGTGGCTCACGCCTATAATGCCAGCACTTTTGGAGGCCGAGGCAGGGGCATCACCTGAGGTCGGGAGTTCAAGACCAGCCTGGCCAACATGGTGAAGCCCTGCCTCTACTAAAAATACAAAAATTAGCTGGGGCGTGGTGGCACATGCCTGTAATCCCAGCTACTCAGGAGGCTAAGACAGGAGAATAGCTTGAACTGGGAGACGGAGGTTGTAGTGAGCCAAGATCACACCACTGCACTCCAGCCTGTGCAACAAGAGCAAAACATCTCAAAAATAAAATAAATAAAGAATGAATTATATCTCAATAAAGCTGTTTATATATATATATAATATTGTTTTATATATACAATTTTTATTACGATATATAATATTGTTTATAAACACACACACACACACACACACAGGCTCAGTGGCTCACACCTGTAATCCCACCACTTTAGGAGGCCAAGGTGGGCAGATCACCTGAGGTCAGGAGTTCAAGACCAGCCTGACCAATATGATGAAACCCTGTCCCTACTAAAAATACAAAAACTAGCTAGGCATGGTGACGTGCGCCTGTAATCCCAGCTACTCAGAAGGCTGAGACAGGAGAATCACTTGAACTCTGGAGGTGGAGGTTGCAGTAAGCCAAGATCACGCCACTGCACTCTAGCCTGGACAACAAGAGCGAAACTCCGTCTAAA